ATGAAAGTTAGACTTGAACTTTCAAAACAGATTGATAATGATGTAAAAGGTTCACCACTAAGTATTTCAGATGAACTTAATTATTAATAAATGGATTTTCTTCAAAAGTTAGATTGTTTATACTATGCTTGTATTGAAACAAGAGCTGGTTCTCTGGATTATTACGGGGAAAAACGGGCAATAAAACGAAAGAACTATCTAACAATGTTTCTAAGAGAGGCTTATACTGATTTTTGTCAGTTGCATCCTAAACATTGTTTAATTTTCCATATTTAGTGCTTTATGACTAAAAAATTTATTGCTACTGTAAAACTTAGAATCAAAACAAATATCATGAAATTTTTATTCTTTAACTGGAAGGCTAAAATTAAGTTTATGACAATACATGGTGATGGTAGAAGTATTTATGTATATAAAGTAAAAGAAATTTTGGATCTAATTGTTGGAAGGGTGCTTCTGATACTTACAAAAATTTCTCATTGCTTGTTATAGGTTTCTAACCATCATTTATTGTAGTTTGGTAACGATGAGAAAAAGATGACAATAGCTCACAATAAAAAATATATAATGGCAAATGTGCAAGAAGAATGTTTTGAAATAACTCTTGAAAATTGGACTAACTTTCAATAATACGTAAGAGTTAAAAGAATCCGAGGTGATACTTTCCAAACAAACATATCTAGCATTAAAACCAGGGAAATTCAAGTTGACTTTGCAATGGCATATTCTTTTGAATATCAAAACGAATTTCAATCAGCATTATGCTATCCAGCCACAGTTCCGTTATTCACAGCAGCTGTTGTCTTAGACGATACTCTCCTAAAGAGTTTAAAATAGAGTCCTTTACAATATTTTCCTAAGGCAAAGACAAAGGTGAAACAATGTCTACACTTTTATTTTAAGACTGTTTAAAAACGATTCTACTTCAGAAGATGAGCTAACAGAAACCTTCTATAGTAATAAGTCAAGTTAAGAATTTAAAAATAAATATATGGTTGAATTATTTCATATTTTGTCAATCAAAATATAAAAAAAGAAATTAATTTGGAAATATTTTACGATATCACATGCAGAAGTTCCTTCTATGGGATAGGTGTGTAGTACAAAATCTTGAAAGCGAAGCAAAAAGCAAAGTTATTTATATCATTGTGTTGTTATACAAAAAAATTTATTTGCTATCCAGTGTTGTTTGCAAAGCTAACCAATCAACTCATGCCTAATACAACAGTATTATATATTAGCCAAAAGGAAATAAAGATATTAATTGAAAAGATCAATACATGGCAACGGTAATACAAAGCATAAAATCTATGCATAAGTATCGTTAGATACTTGAATAAGATGCATAGATGCACATTGTGGCACACAAATAGTCAGTAAGTCAATTTCTGTTCCCTCCTGATCAGAAGTGCGCCTATAACTGAAATTAAAACGACATATGCTCTATCTCGGGAACATTATTGACGCAAATGCACATGCTTGTAAACTTAAAATGCAATATTTGCATAAAATAATTGGAAAATATGCATATTTTTGTTTCCAAACAGAAATGATTTTGAAGGAATAGATGTGCCTAAGATTTGCTATGTTTTACTCTCTAAACCAGTATAAAGAAGGGCTACAACCATCTTTCCAGACCATTAACTATTTTATTTGCTAAAATAAATTGTTTTTCTTCTGCTAAATTAAAATAAATAAATGTTTTAGTGCAACATTTATGACTTCTCAGTTGAAATATTCACAGAGGGTAACACACGTAACGTTCAGTTAACACACGTAACGCACCAATTTCACCAAAATAAAGAAGTTTTTACTGTTGCAAGAAATTTTTAAAAATCACTAAACACAGCTTCGATATTGTATCTCTCTATAAAAGAAAATATCTTAATTTTTTGCCTTTATACTTCACAGAATTAAATGAATATATTCAAAGTTTCAAATATCTAGCATTATAAAGGGTAACACACGTAACAAAATTTCAGAAATTTTTTTTTTCAACATCAAATTAATTTGCGCCTTCAATCTTCGTTTTGAAAACTTACAACACATATAGATTTAACAACAAATTAAGAAAAACATAAAAAATATCTAACAAGTTTATTATAATAAGTGTTAAAGTTGAAATATGTCGTATAAAAGTAACACACGTAACGAAAGAATCGCCCGTTTGATGGGAAATTTATTTAAAATAAGTGTGAATTCAGGGTTCAACTTATTCTCCGAATACACAGATAACACTGGGGAGCAAAATTTTTGTTGCATTTATGGAAGCATTTGTTCTTTCTTAATTTGGGTGAGCGGATATCAAATCTGAAATTAGTTTTATTCGGAAAGCAGCAGATTTTTTTTAAAAAAAATGATATTTATAGTTTTGTTAATTTTTTGTTTGAATGTACAAGGTTATTAAGAACGTATAGGTTTATATGCGTACATATGCTGTTCCTATGTATAGGTTTATATACATGCATGTCTACTCCTTTGAAAATAACACTTTACTATTTCTAGCGCAGTGTAGTCAATCTGGCAATTCTTAAATCAAAAATGTTACGAATCACTAAAAATGTATAATTATTAACTAAGTGTTCAATAATTTTAGTTACTGTTATTTTTTACGCAACAAGGAGAAGAGTATTACTCTTCAATAAAATGCGTTCCTTAAAAAACAAGCGTGCCCCAAGTGACTAAAAAAATATAAAAAGTAGTGATTAATAAATGGCAAAAATCTATTAAAAAGAAACTAAAATTATCAAGAAAAATCGCCAATAATGAAAATATTGGTAACAAATATGCAACAAATCGGTAATGCAACAAATATCATCAATATTATCGTCAATACTGAAAATGTTTTCTAGCGAAGATGATGAAGACAGTGACGATGAAAATCAACATATAGAAATCTCTAATGATTAGGGGCCCCCTAAAATGGATTTTTTGAAAAAACTTTTTAAAAAATTAAAGAAAACAATGATTTTTAAAAAAAAAAATCTATTTCAAATATATATGTTATGATTATTTTTTAGTTCTAATTTAACAAAATAAAGCAAAATTTAATTTATTATTATTTATTTTAATTTTAAATATGCTTTCTTAAATGAAAAGATATATGAATACTTTTATATTTTAATAAATGAAAAATATACGAGAAAAAAAATTTTAATTTTAGGGTCCCAAATATTTGAATGACCTAGGGCCCCGCGTGTGCTTAATCCGGCACTGGATGAACTAAAAGCTATCGAAAGTGCTATTCAATATATAGATCAACAAGAAGAGGTTATCCCTAAAAAAGGGCGAAACATTGCTGCAAAAATAGCACCAAAGTAATGTAGTAAAAGAAAAAAAGATTAAAAACTTTTATAAGTAAAAACTCTTTAATTCTCGTAAAGTATGCTCTTAAAGTGTTTTTTAGTAAGCTTTTTAATTATAGTATGAATTGTATGTGATGTCCTCGTATAAAGCTTGTATCTGTTAAATATATTGCATTTATACCTACTCCTTCCTTTTCTATACTCTTCGCTTTAACCGAGTTTTTCGGTTATCCGAGTGAGTCGTGGTCCACATTAACTCGGATAATCGGGACTCTACTGTTGTTGCATGCATTTTCTCTATTATTCCTATTTTATTACACCAGCGCAAATGATAATATTATTCTGACCCCTGTAAATATTATAATATTCTCATCTAGCTTAATCTCAATTGTGTTTAATCTCCTATTGATTTCATCATATGTTCAACAGACTGATTTCCCACTCATGATTTTACGATTTGGTGCTAAGACTCCCTCTTTCCCCAATTCTACTGCCACCTCACACATTCCTCCATTATATGCCTCAAAACTCCGACGAATTAGTTATTGTCGCTTCGCTGCAGGGCACTGATATTTGAGCTATGTTTTAATGTTCCAATAACATTTATTTATCCTTGATGTGTAAAAAGAGTTTTTAAAGAAAAATTATTTTACCTTCCTTTCAATGTTTCAAAACTGATTTTAGCAGTAAATATTTTCTCGGTTTAAGAGTGATTATCGATCGAGAATGAACTAAATTTAAATTTCTATGCAAATTCCGGTGGTGTTAAGGCATCGCTTTCATTGATTTTGCATTCGTAATTGGGTTTTGGCATCAAGTTATTTTACTTCTGTACACGTCGTTCTGAAACAAGAAGGGGAGATTGCTTTCTAAAGAGGCGGAGATTGCTCTCAAGTTACCCTACCACTGTATTCAGAAATTATTTTGTTGAGATTGGAGTTGTTCTTGTAAAAGTGGACATGTGTTCTTGTATCTCCCCTGAAATGAAATCTAAAAAATTTAAAAAGAAATAAAGAAAGATAAAATAAGAAGTTCTTTTTGCTAATTCTTACATTTCAAACAGTATTTGTTAATTCAAAAAAATATAGCTAGATTTTAAATTTGCTTAGTTCAAGGTTGTTTGTAAGCCAGAAAAATTAGTGAACTACTGCATTTTTAGTTTGTTTTGCAGGAAATAAATATCTGTACAAATCAAGGCCTCTTAATTATAAGCAATATTATTATTATTAATTATTATTATTATTAATTATTATTATTAACAAGTATTATTATTAATTATTAATAATAATTGTTGTTGTTATTAATTATTATTATTATTATTATTAAAAAAAATTTTTTTTTACTTAGAATTGTTCTGATTACTCAGAACCTAATGTTGGGCTCCACTGATTTATTAGATCTGACATGCAGGGCGACTAAAAATGTAAAAAGTGGTAGAAACTGGATTAACTTTTACTTGTTTATAATTTCTCTAATCAATCAATCGTAACTACCACTGTGGCATACATTTAAAATCATTCATATTTAAAAAAACTTTCAATAATTTTCTAAAGATTTCCCACATAAGACCTTATTATTCGAAAAACCTTATTATTTGAAATGAACGTGCCCGAACGTGACCGTTAATATTCACCTTAACAATGAAGCCTTTATCTCACTAATTCAGTCTTTATCTAGTTTCACTTTCAAACTTCCTTGTCTGAAGCGTTTTGATAGAGAGGAAGTCGCCACGTGATAACGAATGTTGGTGTAAACTTACATCATGCACTTATTCATAAACTCGTTTTTTGAAAACATCATTCATAAAGAAAATTGTATGAATTGGTTTTAGTTCTGTTGTAGTTAGGGCCTTTAATTTTTGATTGCCGTAATGTGCGAATTGAAATGTGTTGGGTAAGTTTTAGAATTACTTATTTTTCTTTTTAAATTTGACCAAAAAGGTACACAGGGGTTGAACAAAAATATGGAACACTTCTGTACTAAGTCTAAGTAAAATATCTTTCTTTCAGCATCAAATGTTGGGGAAGGCAAAACTGTTGGCGCAATTTTATAAATCACACTTTAGCTTTTATAAATCCATTGCCATTGCGAAATTTGCATCTAACAAATAAGCGTGGGAAGTTTAAAGCTTTTTTTCTCTTTTTCAATATGACTAAAATTAAAAAAGCGTTCTTATTAATAAATATAGTTCAAATTTAAAAAAAAAATCTAGTAAGAAAATACTATAACATAAATATTATAATAAATACACTAAAATTAAAAAAGCGTTCTTATTAATAAATATAGTTAAAATTTAAAAAAAATCTAGTAAGAAAATACTATAACATAAATATTATAACAAATACACTAAAATTATAAAAGCGTTTTTGTCAGTAAATATAATTAAAATGTAAAAAAAATTATAATAAGAAAATACTATAACATAAATACTATAATAAATAGACTAAAATTAAAAAAGCGTTCTTATTAATAAATATAATTCAAATTTAAAAAAAATTGTAATAAGAAAATACTACAACATAAATACTATAATAAATAGATTATAATTAAAAAAGCGTTTTTATTAATAAATATAATTCAAATTTAAAAAAAATTATAATAAGAAAATACTATAACATGAATACTATAATTAATAGACTATAATTAAAAAAGCGTTCTTGTTAGTAAATATAATAAAATTTTAAAAAAAATATATAATAAGAAAATACTATAACATAAATACTATAATAAATAGACTACAATTAAAAAAGCGTTCTTGTTAGTAAATATAATTAAAATTTAAAAAAACATTATAAAAAGAAAATACTATAACATAAATACTATAATAAATAGACTATAATTAAAAAAACGTTCTTGTTAGTAAATATAATTAAAATTTAAAAAAAAGTTAATAAGAAAATACTATAACAAATAGACTATAATTGAAAAAGCGTTCTACTTAGAAAATATAATTAAAATTTAAAAAAAATTATCATAGGAAAATATTATAACAAATAGACTATAATTAAGAAAGCGTTCTTCTTAGTAAATGTAATAAAAATTAAAAAACAATTATAATAAGAAGATACTATAACATAAATAGTATAATAAATAGACTATAATTAAAAAAGCGTTCTTGTTAGTAAATATAATTAAAATTTAAAAAAAATTATAATAAGAAGATACTATAACATAAATACTATGACATAAATACTATAATAAGTAGACTATAATTAAAAAAGCGTTCTTCTTAGTAAATATAATAAAAATTAAAAAATAATTATAATAAGATGATACTATAACATATATACTATAATAAATAGACTATAATTAAAAAAGCGTTCTTGTAAGTAAATATAATTAAAATTTAAAAAAAATAAGAAGAAGAAGATACTATAACATAAATACTATACATAAATACTATACATAAATACTATAATAAGTAGACTATAATTAAAAAAGCGTGCTAGTATAATATGAATATTATACTCGAGTAAAATGATTTCAAAATAACTGCTAAGAATTAGTAACTTTCTCTCTTTATTTTGGTCAATCCAAATTCCGAATAACTTAAATACCATTTCTAAAAAGATTCAAGCATGATCTTTTAAACTGACCCAACAGTTTTGTCATGTTAAATCTCCCAAAACATTTGGCGCTTAGAGAAATATTGTTTACATACAGTTAGCATGGAAGTGTTTCTATATTTTTGTCTCCTAATATGTATATTGTTATCTATGTGTGGCATAGCTACCGAATCTCCTAATTTTTGCCGGAGATTCTCTTTTCTTTTTGTATTTAAACTGGTTAAAAACTGTAAAAGAAAATATTTTTATCTTTGTTTAACAGTGTTGATTTATAATAATTTTAACTATTAACACATATAAATAATAGGAAGGTCCTACGAACCATCTTTGGTGCAATTCTCGATAACAACAACTGGAGAAAAAGATATAATTTTTAAATATATAAGATCTTTAATAGTGATGATATCATTAAATTTATTTAACTATGTGGAATGAGATGGGCCGGGCATGTAGTGAGAATGAGGCCAGAACGAACAGCATTAAGAGTCTTTAATGCAACCCCCTCCAATAAAGGGCCAAGAGGAAGGCCCAAAAAGAGATGGAAAGACTGTGTGGGTGAGGATTTTGCCATCCTAAAAGTAAAGAACTGGAAATCAGTTGCCGGGAGAAGGGCAGAATGGGAAAAGCTTCTGAGGAAGGCCCAGACTCTCAAAGGGCTGTCGTGCCAATGCTGATGATGACATATAAATAGTTAAAATAAATATATAAATTTCCTAACTTCATTTAATAACTATTTAGTGGTTGCATAGTAAAAATAATTCCTGTTTCAAATCGTAAGATCTATTGTTATATCGCTACAACTGCAAATTAGATTCATAACCGGAAAATGCACATAGCAGGTTATGCTCGTGCCACCTTCGTGTCAAAATTAAATGTTAAAATAATTATTTAAAAATGAATAAAATATTGTTTAGTAATTTTAAGTAAATCTTTTACCCTGCGAAGCAGAATTTTTATTAAACATATTTTTCCATACTTTCTTTTATTATTCTGTATTAATTTTTTAAAAAAAATAGTTTAAATTTTATTATAAATATAATTCCGATAACCTAACAGATTTTTTGTTAGTACCTAATTGCCGGTTTCTTAGAATTAAAAAATTCCCAAAATATATTTTTACTAGTAATTAGAGCGTAAAAAATATATATCTACAAAAGGGACACCTGTGTCCTATTTGTGTTAAAGGGTTGATCTGGGTTCCCAGGGAAACTAAGAATTTCAACAGAAGTAGTAAATTTACGTTTTAGTTAGTAGGAAATTCCATTTTCCTTCTTCTTTTTTTCAAGTTATCATTTTACGTTTAGATATCTGTCGATTTTAACCATTGGTTCTCAACGGGGGCGTTGGGAGTATGCTGAGGGGCAGTGCATTTGTTTTGGGCAGTAGGGGGGCGTTGGGTATGTTTTGGGCGGTAGGGGGCGAAGAGCATGTTTTATTATTCAAATTTAAAACTTAAAAATAAAATCATTAAATTAAGATTTATTTAATAAATAAAATTAATCTAAAATTAATATTAAAGAGAAAAAAAATTAAATTAATATAATAAATAAAGATTATCCGATAAACCATTTGCACCAGCAATAAAATGAACTTATACGGCACCTATTCTCCGATCAGAACCAACACACCTCAGCGCATTAGTCTGTACCTCTTGCCTTTGACTTATTCAAGCCATTTGATGAAAATTGAAGTCATTGCGCTTTCAGTATGAATTTTTGATTTGACCCGTGTTTCTTATAATGGTTTTTCTTAGCTTCATTACAGTTTTTTCCCCTGCCACCAACAATGTCAGTTAATAAAAAGAGGTGTCATCCATACAGTGCCACATACTTGAAGTTGGGATTTGTTCAATCACTGTTGAACTCTCAACTACCCATGTGTTTACTTTGTAATAAAGTTTTATCTAATGAGGTAATGAAATCTTACCGTTATCAGGAGCATTTGCAAAAAACTTATCCTGACAAACAAAATAAAGATTTGACATTTTTCATGAACATCTTCTTTCACGCTTCTGAAGGCACCTTCGGTCTCTGGGTTACTAGCAACCTCATCACAAAAATGCGACGATGGTTTAATAGCTTCTTATAATATATCAAAATTTATTGCTAAATCTGGGAAAGCTCATACCATCGGAGCAGAGTTGATACTGCCGTTTGTCAAGGAAGTTTTAGAAACAGTTTTACACCATCCAGTCGCATCCATTGTAATAAAAAAATATCCCGTAAGCAACGATACAGTGCGGCGACGAAATGATGAATTGGCTGAAGACGTTGAAATTTCTTTACGCAAACTTTTGATATCCAGCGAATTTTCCCTTCAAGTTGATAAATCAACCTTGCCAGATAATGTAGGCTTTACTTTAGGCATAGGTCCGGTTTGTAAAGGTAGGAAAAATTATTCAAGAGATGCTTTTTGCAAGAAGCTTGATTGTAGATATCAAAGGTAAATCTATTTTTAATACTTTCAAAGATTATTTTAAAGAGAAAAACATTCCTCTTGCGAATATTATGTCTATTACCACTGATAGGCTCCTGCAATGGTGAGTCGACTTTGCTCTTTTGGAAGGGAAGTTACCAGATATCTTAGCTGTTCACTGCGTGATTCACAGAAAGCATTTAGTAGGGAAAAATCTCAGCAACCATTTGCATCAATCATTGCAATATGCCATATCTTCTGTGAACAAAATTCATTGTAATGCTCTCTACGATTGATTATTCAGACAGCTGTGAAAGAAAAACAATAAAGAATGCTATCACTTGTTACTATACACCGAGATTCGCTGGCTTTCCAAAAGCTTCTGTCTCAGTAGGTATTATAATCTTTTTGACTCTATGCTTGAGTTCCTCGAAAACAGAGATGTAGCTCTGAGAGACAGATTGCTAGAATTTAAGAAAGACTTTGACAGATTTATCTGTAAAATTTAAGGGTGATAATTTACATCTTCAAGGCAACAAGCTCAATTTGATTTCCACAAAATCAGTTATTTCTGCCTTTCTAAAAAAACTCATTTCGTGGAAGCAGAATTTTGGTTGGAATGAGTTCAGCCAAGCAGGCGAAATTCACTCTGATGACGCACAAGAATATTGTCAACATCTTGACTCTTTGCACATGAACTTTTCTGACCGTTTTAAAGATGTTTTGTTCCCTAGAAGTGCCTCAATGGGTTTATGGGTTCTGAACAATTTTGTGAATATTGAAACAGCAGAGGTTCAGATTTACGAGGAATTGGTTGAACTTTTAAATAAGTAAACTTTGAAATGATGATCGTCTCACAGAATTTTTGCTTAAAAGTAACATCAGTCGTCTCTATCCCGGACTGTAGACTAT